GAAAATTTGGTATGGGTTTGGGAATCTCGGTTAAACCCTAGACTGGCACTGGGGCAAGGGTTTTTCAAGATCTAAGGGGAATACGTTTCAATTTTCCTAGAGATAGTGATTTCTATCAAAACACAAGGCCTAAATCTATACGGAAACAAGAAATCAAGGGAAAGATCTGAAAATAAGGAAGAAAAACAGAAAAGAGCAATGATTTAGACTCAAGAAAACAAACAAAAAATCAAGAACACTGAGTAAGTGTATGCAGGTGTACAAAAGCCAGGAACAGTGGCAAAGTTGTTAAAACTTCAAATTTATGAACACTACGAATCACAAACATAAGTGAATAAGACAGAAGGGTGTGTTGAACAGCAAACAGTAAGGATTCAAAAACATAAAACAGATTTGCAATGGCATCAAACAGCGTGTAAACAGGAAATAGATTTTGAAATAAATCAGAGACTGAAAATGGAGGAAATTGTGACTTACTAAGTGAAATGAGCGCCGATATGGGTGTCGCCGGAGTCAGACGACATGAATGGTCACAAATAGATGATGAGAGGGTCGGAGGAGGAGGTAATCGGAACGGATGCAGAGCTTTGAAGGGACAGTAATGGCGGTTCGAGAATGGAAGTTTGAAGAGAGAGAATCTGTGAATCAAGGGAGATTGTATTTTTTGCAAAGGTGAAGAAACGGAGAGAGAGGGAAGAGTTTTGTTGAAATTATGAGAAAGGCAACAATCATAATAATGTGCCTTGGACGACGTGTCAGTCAGGCGGCGTGCGCAGAAGCGACGCGACCTGATGGCGCGTGTCAGGTACGAATCAATTAGAGAAGGACGCGTGGCGGAAATGGTTGAAAAAACCGTGCGTGACAGCTCATGCGCAGATAAAACTCTTGGTGTTCTTGATTTAATGAAGCAAAAATCTCAGCTAGAGAAGCAATCTCGATTCAGGAACTCGAAGAACTTGGTTCTTGATTCTTGGTCATTGATAAAGTAGACTGCAGAGTCTTGGTCATATACAGCCCACGAGTGATTATCTCGGCCGTAAAGAATAGAGTGAGTCTTAGCCGACATGCTATGTGGACAAACGGTATAGGTTCCATCACCTCAGGTTGCCAAGGTAATAAAACCTAGGGGCAGTTGTGGGGGCATATTTTGTGAATAACAGCACGTGGCCAAGGTGACGCCGACGTGTCAGCCAAAGTGCCACGTGGCTTAGTCATGATGCCAAGGTGATCTCGACTAGGCTAAGATTATCTGCGGAGATATCAGAACCCGAGATGAACAGATAAGGGACAAGAGTCCTAGAATGGGGGAGGACCTCAGTCTGGATAAAGATAAAGCTCTTGGAGAATTTATCTCTATCTAGCTGAGAGTTCAAGATGAACATTGAGCACAAGTCCATTTAAGCTAGGCTTCTACAGGGATTAGGTTAGTGATGGCTATAAAAGTAAGACACCCTCATGGGTCTAAGGTATGTTTTTATGCTTTGTTTAGTGAGTTAAGCACTATTGGCTATCTTTGAGAGATAATTACTAACTTGATCGTCGGAGTGTCCCCTGGTGGACAAACCACCGCCAGACTCTTATCTTTCTGTGACAGGTTGTTCGGGCTTAATCTATTCTACCGGTGCTCTCCTGCTAAGTATTCCATGTTTGGTTGTGTGGTCAAAAATCAACACCCACAGCTAACAACAAATTGTTTTTGTAAGGAGATCAATATGCAAAAAGGGCTGTGAAGACAATGCTTGAGAAAGTAAGAGATGTGGATCCATTGGATGCACTTGAGATGATTGACGACTCACAAAGGCTTGGAGTGTTTTATCACTTCAAGGATGAGATAGAGAAAGCACTTAAGAAAATATACAATATGAATGATAAGTGTAACAATGAGGATTTGCATGCTACAGCTCTCAAATTTAGGGTTTTGAGGCAACATTGGTATAATGTCCCTCAAGGTACTTCAATGATTTACTCACTTTGTCAATTTCAAAAATTTTAAGAGGAAACCCAAAAAAGTCATTTTAAAACAAAAAAGGGTAAATTACACTATCCATTCTTGAAGATTATAAAAAAATACAATAAGTTTCACAAGTTTGTCATAATTACACCGACTTTTGTTTTATTAATATTACCTAAACTAATACATATAGTGCGTAGAGTACAATATACATTTCAGTATAAAAATATGACAATAATATCTTTTATCCATACGATTAACGAAGTACTGGTAAAAAAGGGTATATAAATTAAGATCTTAAGAGAGTTCACATAATTATGATAGACTTGTAGGGCCTAATGTATTTTCTTCAAACTTCAAGGGAAGTTAGTTTAGTTTACCCAAAAAAAAAATGAGAAATTGAATATATATATATATATATATAAGAGCTAAAAATAATGGGGCATTTATGTTTTGACATTTTTTATCTTTATACTAATTGGCAACCAACTTGGATTGCGGAGGTTTTTAACAAATTTATGGACAATACAAGAAATTTCAGGGCTTGCCTTTCTGAGGACTCTTATATTTGTATGAAACTTCATACCTTTCAATTAATGGTGAAAATTCATTGGATGAGGCAAGAGATTTCACAACTAAAAATCTCAAAAAACACCTCAAGGACAAAAAAGACATTGATCAAAATCTTGCCATGCTAGTTAGCTTTGCCTTGGAGCTTCCTTTACATAGGAGAATAGTAAGGCTAAAGACAAGGTGGTTCATTCATGTGTATGAGAGAAGATATGGATTATGTTATGGTATATATGATTAATACCAAACTTTAGAACCTGAGTAAACAATCACGCACACAACGAATCTAGAACGGAGAAGTAAAAGAACTAGAAAAAAACAAACTCACAAAGCAACACAAGAGATCTACGTGGTTCACTCAAATCACGGGCTACGTCCACGGAATCACTGCAGATTTACCAAGATCAATATGAAAAGAGTTACAATAGTCTCACATTCAATCTCACAAACTCTCTCTACAATGATCTATCTCTCACTCTCACTATTGTGTATCTCTCTCTAAGATCACAAATATAACAATTCTAGTTTAAATCCGACCCATTTATTGTCTGGATTCGGGATATCTGGTTTTGTATCACTGTTCATGTCTTTATTCATCTCGTGCTTCATTGAGTTTGGCTATTAGAGTGTCTTTGTCACGTTTGGAACAAGTTAGGAGTTCGTTTTCAAAGGAGTCCTTGCTCAGAATTTTGCTTGCTCGCTCGCTCGAGCAGTCTTTTGCAGTCTACAAAACTACTGGGAATTTGAAATCTGTGCTCGAGTGACGTTTCTTGCGCTCGAGCTAACTTTTGCAAGTCTGAACTATTGGGACGGGTGCATTGTGCGCTCGAGCCACCATTCTTGCGCTCGAGCAATGTCTTTGTTGTATCTAGTCGCTCGAGCGATCTGCACGTATATCAATCCGAAGGGGGTCACTTTTGAGTCATTTTCTCATCTCTCTCTCTTTCTCTAAAACCCTCCAAAACCTAGATCTACTTATTCTCTCTCTAGAAACCATCTCTAAACCTCAAATACACATTGATCCGTTGATTTCTACGCCATTGTCCCTTTGATAAAAAGTAGAGTTCACCTAGAATTTCATTTTGATCGAAGCAAAACGGATTTTCGGCTTCTTCAAAGTTTCTTCACTCTTCCCCTTGTCTTCTAGCTTTGAGGTAGGGATTCTCTACACTTTAGTATGATTTTTAACTTAATTATTTTCTTTCCAAACAAGATTTTGGTTTGGGGAATTTTGGACAAATTACAAACACTCCCCTCGAGATTTGGTGAAAATATAGATTCCCCCCTAAGATTTGAGAAATTACATCCCGCCCCCTAAAGTTTATATTCCCATAACAAATTGCCCCCTAAGTTTTTTATTTTCATACAAATTCTCCCTTAATTTGTTATGCAAATTTGACCTTCAGGGGACAATTTGTAATTTCTCAAACCGCAGGGAAAAATTTGTATTTTCACCAAACTTCGAGGGGGTGTTTGTAATTTGCCCGGGGATTTTTAGATAAAAATTTAGAATTTTGGTTTGAAATCAAAAGACGGGTTTTCAAATGGTTTTCTTGGAAATGATTATGAAATTGTAAATATGGTTGTGTGGTGATAAAATGGGGTATTTCATCCTTGAAATTGATTTTCAAAGAAAGAGGGAGTTGGCCTTAAAATATGAATATTTTATTTTGTAAAGAGGAAATGGAAGCGAGGATGGATTTTGTGAAATCGGAATGATATAAATGAGGATGATTGAATTAGATATGTATTATCACTCACAATCCGAGATTTTAGAAAATATATCTTTAATGAATTCTTTTTATCTATTTAAAGATATCTATTTTGAACTGTCGGTGAAGACCAACTATAACCACAGAGGATAATTTGTAATTTAAGTAAATTTCAAAAATGTGTTTGTAATTTACCCTTAATTTTTTATGTCAAATCACCTTTACCGATTTGATCCAAACTAAATTTTTTGCTAATAAGTGGTTAGGCTAATAATGAGCAATCCTGTCATGCCATCAGATCCGATGACTTGAAGCCATGAATGAAAACAATACCCTAAGGGCATGTTTGATTGGAAGGATTAAAGTATGGGATTAGGATTATTAATCCGTGGGCCTAACCATCCTATGTTTGTTTTGACATTTGGTTTAGGACTATTAATCCAATGGATAATTAATCCAACAAATTTGTAGGATAATTAGTAATGAGGTAGGGGTGGGATAATTAATACCACACTAATTTGATAGGATTATTAATACCTCACTATTAGTATTGTGAATCAAACATGGCCTAAATTGACAGGTGACATTTAAATTATAAAATATTATAATTATTATTATATACTTTAAGCGATGTAACTTGTATAAAAGTTGTTTCATTTCTAACTATCAGTTTAGACGAACAGCTACGAATGGTCTGGTGACTCACACCCACCATGTACCCTTACATACGCCCCCCATTCAAGAGAGGACTTCATAAAGATAATAGAATAAAAAAATACAATTGTCTTGTGACTTAAAACACAAGCCTCACAAATAAATAAAATTTGCAAGTACATAACGTCGAGAAATGAAAGTCCAGGACTGCCTATATCGGCTACAAGTCCAAGGTAGAAAATTACGACGGAAACCTCACTGAGGCGAGTCTCAATTCCATGTCCTCCTCAACCCATTACAACACAATAAAACTAAAATACTTAACACGACAAGAGTTCTCCAAAGCATATTATAACAAAAGATATATATAAAAAAAATATTATGCAGAAGCGACTTCTTGAAATTTTTAACATAATCAACGCAGTCATCTTGTTCATGTCCTGAAAAAGAAGGGGTGAGCTAACAAGCGCAGTAGATAATTGACTTGGAAAGAACACAAGGTATGGGCAGAGCTTTGACAAGGATATGTAATATAAGAAAAATTCATTATAAAGAGGGGTAAGAATTGAAGTATTGAAATCTTATTATTCTAGTGGGTGAGCAGCAGTCATATTATTGTGGTGAAAACCCCATTACTGTAGTTGAGGACAAGGAGAAAGTAGTTGTGCCAGTCCATGAGAGAATAAAACCACTTCTTGAGGAATTCAAGGAGTTTCTGCTGAATCAAATGTCACCAATAAGTGACATCAGCATCATATTGATTTTGAGAATGGAGCAAGCTTGCCAAACATGTCACACTACGGATGAGTCCGAAAGAGAGATTCTGAGGGGGAAAGTTGAAGAGTCGTTTCAAAAAGGACTAATTCACGAAAGCTCGAGTCCATGTGTTGTTCCTGCCCTGTGTTACTCGAAAATGCTAATCACCAAGCGACTTACGTATTGTATGCATGTTTCAAAACATGGTATACTTCTGTTCTAAAACAGTAAATTTAGTGATCCGAAGCAATCTCAAAAGTTTTTTCAATATATTTCCTTAAATATTATCTTAGGAGGAAAAAAAATCAAATATAATGAATTAAAATCCAAGGTGAGTTATGTTTTGACAAGACAAAAGCATCAAAAATAAAAAATAAAAAAAAGTAATAATACGTTTTATTAGATGTCAAATAGTCGCAAGAAAGTTACTCTAAAAATACCTCAAATTCTTAAATGTAATATATACAAGTTTACCCCTATTGTACCACACTTTAGAGCATGTGGCATATCACGTTCCCATTCCTTTTCCTGTTCCCATTCCAGGTAACATAGTTCCTGCCTTATTGACTCCAAAGAAAGACAAAGGCAGTCTAACCATCGACAAGATCATTGTCAAGTACATACTCCCTATTCCTTGCCTCGATGCCATGTTGGACATACTGGAAGAATCGAAGTGGTTCTCAAAGATTGATCTACATCGTGGATACCATCAGATTCATATCCAACCTGAAGATGAATTAAAAAAAATAGCATTCAACACTAAGGATGACCTATTCAAGTGGCTGGTCATGCCATTCAGCCTTTCCAATGCTCGAGACACTTTCATACAAGTCATACATTGGGAATTAAGGCCCTTCGCTAGAAAATTTGTAGTAGTTTTATTCTTACGACATTTTAATCTACAGTAAATTGGTAGGGATCATGTAGAACACTTAACGAGCGATTTTGACAATCCTACAAGAAACGAACTGTATGTCAACCCCCGGAAGTGCAGTTTCTTGACAAACAGTTTGTGTTTCTTGGGATATGTGATCCGTTCAAAGGGAATTGACGTAGATAAAAAGAAGGTTCAAGATATCCAAGAATAGCCAACACCTAAGACATTTAGTGATGTTCAGAACTACCATAGTTTGACTATATTTTAAAGATATTTCATTCGGAATTTCGGCAATATTATCGCGGCAATAAAAAGATAAGTTTGTGTGGGGTGAAGATGCAGAGAAGAGCTTCAGTTTGATTAAGGAAAAGTTGTGCACAATGCCAGTGTTGATTCTGACGAGTTTCAAAAAGATTTTAGAGGTGTAGTGTGATGCTGGCAGTGTGGATATAGGGCTGTTCTATCCCAAGAGCAGAAATCAATTGCTATTTTCAGCGAGAAGTGTAATCCAACAAAAAGTAGAGTACTACAACGGACCATCGGGCCTCAAGGTGCAACTCCATTAAGTAGCCAGGCTAACCTGTTGGTAACATTGGCACATGAGATTGAGGGCCTTGAGTTCTTGAAAGACCTCTACCAAGATGTTAAGGATTAAATTGCTGGTGAAAATTCTGGACAAATTGTTGTACGAGGAAGAAGGAAAATACATGCATGATGCAGTTTATTTGTAGCAACAAACCCCATGATTGGAGTATCAAATATACCTCTATGGTAAAATTCATGAGCTCTCTTGCGTCGCCGAGAAACTTTTTCTGCTTCATTCCCAGATAACATTGCTGGTACATCAATCACAATAAAGCCTTCTATTAGCAAGCGAGTCACACAGGAAAATTAAGGGAAAGAAAACATAAAGAAAAAAAAGGGCAGAAAGGTTGTTACCACCATGTAAGAGGTTTCATTAATCTCCTCAATGGTGCTGAGTTCCATTCTAGGCAAAGCTCTAGGCTTTGTCAATATATCATTCAAAATTGGATCACCTATTCAATTTCCTAGGGACAAAAAAAATCAAATTACATTTGTTAGTATAACTGAACATATGGAATACTTCTACAAATGCAAATATACATACTAAGATTGCAATTCTTTGGCCTCTAGTATGTCTTGTTCAATTGATAGTTTGGGTGAATTTGTTCAATTGATTTTGATATCTCAGTTGACGGACTTGAGGAAAGATTTTTCTTTTTTTCCCCCTTTAAAAGGTAATAAATAGATCACAAAATATCACTCTGATAAATGCTCTGCCTGCCACGAATGAATTATAATAATAATTTTACCATATACGCCTGTTACTTGCAAATTTGTAGCAACAATAACTGGCTTCAATTCTATAGCAGTCCACACTCATTTTAGACGAATCCACCCCAACTTGTCAAGATTGGGTTCTCTAAGCTGAAATACAGCAATTACAATTCAATTAGTAATATGAAAAAAGCTAAAGAAGATCACTTCTTAAATCTTTGCTGGAGAATGACAACATAGATACTTAGTAAGAGTTGGTTACTTGTCACAAAAAAACAATAATTAAATAAATCTATATAATCCTTCTTCCTTTTTTACTTTTTTACTTTGGCCCAACATTCAAAACAATAGCAGCAATAGCTAACATCAAGTAACATTTGAATTAATCCAGTGGCTTCTGATATGAGAAAATCTGTTATGCAATAACTATAAGGAAATAAACATTTACCAATTTGAGATAACACGGAAGTGAGTTTAACCAAATCTCAAAGAGGTAAAAAGTAGAATTCCTTTGTTGTTGTGCAGAAATTCTCTAGCTCAAATTCTTCAATTTTGGTAAAGTATAACACTTGACCGTCATGGCATTCATGCTTGTCAATTGCAGGTAGCTTAAATTCAGGTTTTTTTTTTATAATAAAAAAAAATGGCAGCTCTTGAGATGAAGTAACTCCTACTGATCTTTAAATTGTGCATAAATTTCACTTTTTCCTTAGCAAAGATGGTAGCATTGTATCTTTATTTCCTGGATAACATAGAAATATGTTGGGAAACAATATTGTAATAAACAGCCTGGCATTATGAAAAAAGACTAGCTTTTCATCGATTTTATACATTAATTTCCCATCTCTTGGGTATGAAGGGCATACTCTCGAGACAATTCCAACTTTAATAGTCCATTTGATGGTGCAATCAGAGATTTCATGAAGAAATACATAAGGAGTTCCCATTGCAGATGTTTTGAGTAACAAACCTGCAAATTACAAAGATAATAAACCCAAAAAAGGGTAAGGGATTCTGGGGAGGGGGAGATCACAATTGGATGAGTATATATTCATCAGCAGCTAAAATACTATTTATTCAAAATACAACATAAAACTAACAACCATGCATCATAAATTTGGAGTGTAAGCACACTACCACAGCAGCAGCAACTTCAGATGTAGGTAAGATACAATCATCAAGCTATTACATGTCTTGGCAAAGGCCACTCACTCTCTAAGACTGGTCCAAGCATGCCTCATTCCCAAGGGAGGGAGCTCAGAGAGCATCCGGACGACTCTGAACTTTTGCCTCCAATCCAAAAAATCCTCTAGTGGTCTCAAGTGGGGTGCCAAGGCCACACTCCCAGCCTAAGCAGTGCATCCCATGTTGTCTTTAAGGTTGAGGCCTCACTCGGTGGGGTTATCAGCGGGCCAAGCAACCAAGCAGGATGGACCTGAGTACCTTGCAGGTCTTGTGAGGCCGAGTGCAGTGGTAGAGCTCAGCTTGCTGATTGGCCAATTGTCATCAACTGGAAGTGACACATGGTATGCATGCATGGCTTGTAGGAGAAGCCACTGGAGGGTGATGTGGCAATGCCATGTAGTGGGGTTGGGCCCAGGTACATACACTACACTTGTGTGCCAACATCATTTAATAGTTACGTACAAACAATACTCTTGCTTCTTATTATTTTGCTATCAAGTGAAGTCAATTTAATGAGCATCTTGATTACAGCTGGAGATTTGAACTCATACAAAACAACATCATACAAAAGTTTTGAATAAACAACCTCCTCGTGCCTTCGCCCTTCATTCTCTTTGCTCAACCCCAATTCCTCCAAGATTAATCATGATTATCACAACATTTGGACGTTGTCATGTATATAATTACTTAGCAATGTAATAGCTCCCCAGCTACCAATTGAACCCCAAAATTTCAAAACCCCCACACATACTAAACCTTTTAAAATTTCCTATATTATTTACCATTTCACGCAGAAAAGAATGGATTCTTCAGCATAAAAGTAAAATCTTTATGAACTAAATTGATCAAATATTGTGTACAAATAAACGATTAACTTGTAATTGATCACAAAAATAAATTAATTCAGAGGCAATATATCTCTCATCATTCAAAATAGACGCTTGCTTGAACTTCTCAAGTTGAACAGCTACATCCTCTAAATATCCAAATCCTTGTGAATTGCGTTCTCTACTTCTCCAACTCAATCATTTATCCCGTACTTCTCCCTCTCAAACTTCTCATATATCTCTCTGAACCTGTCAATTACCCTCTCCTTACTCGACCCCAAATACTCTAAATCCCTTATCCTCCTACTCATCCTCCACACTGGCCATTCACTGCCAAGAAATTCCTCCTAATGGACAAATTATCCATCATCAGTCTCAAAGAAAGAACCACTATTGGGCCATCGTAACAGAAAAGCAGCAAACATAATGGCGATCAAAGCATCTTTGATGCCACAGTGGTTCCAATAAAGGCAGCAAGGCAGGCAAGTAAGGGTTAGGAGCTCACTGCCGAAGATGGTCGTTTCTAAGAAAGAACCACCAGTTGGGCCACTGTAGCCGGTGGCTCCTAGTAAGGAAAGAAAAACAAAAAAGGCTGCAAAAATGAGGAACGATGAAGGTTCTCGCCGTCACAAAGGACCTAATCAAGGCATCGCGGTGAGTAAGGGCGAAGAGCTCACTACCTTAGTACTGGAAATGAATGGAAACTGTTAAATGACTAAAAAGCAAAAAGGTCATTACAAGTGAGGCCAGAGAGAAAAACTGTGCTAGTGCCCTTTTTGGTTATAGTAGATAGATAAGATGAACATGAAAACAATAAGCAGGGCTTTTGCCAACATACATAACAAAAGGAAGGAGGCCATTTACATCCAAAGATGATATGGAGGCCTTGCAAACAAATACAAAACTAGCCTACACCAGCTGTACAGTACGCTACAGGTTCAGCAATAACATGAAAAAGTTTGTCCTATTACAAGAATCAGTATAGCCACAGCTGACCCAAAATGCAGTATACACAGCACCAACAGCATTGATAATGATGCACGGCATCATCTTTTAAAAATAGCACAGCTGCCCTACACCAGTGCAACATTTGGGAGTCATCAACACCTTCTGGGCAAGCAACTTCAGGCCACAACGAAAACAACAAAACCAAGACATATAATAATAATATGGACCTTTCCAAATCAATTATGACAAAGGTTAAGAGCCTGCAACTGAACAATTTCATTCTTCTAAATTAACAAATCTTAACATCTATATATTGCAGCAATAGGATTTTATCACAAATCTACGTTAAGAAGATTTCAAGTTCATACTTTTTTTCTGTTCTTTTGACCATGAGAAATACACATACATATTAGTTTTAAAATGATAGGATAATCAAATAGATATGAAAAAAGACGTATATTCCATCCATGAAAAGGAAAACACAAAAAGTTATATTCCAATTTCTTGTTCTCTTTTTATTTTATGAAGCAGGGGATCGTAAATTAGGCTTAAACTACGATTATAGCACACCATGTAGCTTGAAACCATGTAGAACAACAAAGGATTAACACAAACAACACTGACCGAATTAAAGCCTGCTCCAAGTGAGATTTTTCTTGAGAAGTTAACTGCAGGAAGCAATCTTCTTGGTGTTGAAGCACACAACAAGCAACAATCAGACCATAGAGAGTCTAATTAGACAAAAGAGCTACATTCTGAAATGGGTGATGCAGCCTCTCCATCACCTGAAACTTTGGACTGATTTCAAGAGAGCCCATTGAGCTCTTCCTTAGATAAACCACCAATCTCACTGAGCTCATCATCGGTTTTTTTATCATTAAAACCGTCTAGGAATGGAATAACCCAGTCACCATTTGTTGTCCCCCCTTCAATCTCATTGCATACTACAGTATTATTCTCATCCCTGGTTTCATTTTGAGTTCTCAATGCAATAGTATTCCGACGTCCCAGCAAAATAAGGTCCAACATTTTCCTCCGAACAACAGAAATTTGGTTTGGCTCCATCAAACACCCTTTACCATATGCCTCTCTTAAAAAAACTGTTTGGGCATTCCCTTTGGTAGATATATAGAAAATGCCCGGGTGCTTCAAAATAAGCTCTCGCAAGTTAACTTCTATACCCAAATCCTTTCGAAAGTGCACCAACCGTTCAACTTTAACCTTTTTCTCCACAGTCAACCACAAAAGCTCATGAAGAATCCCAACAGCTCGCTTCTCAAACCGCTCAATCCCTCCGCAAGTACGAACCTTAAACCCCTCTTTTCTCTCATAAGGCTTCACATAAGGAAGTCTTTGCCAATTCCTCAATTTCTCTCTAAATCCTGCCTCGATCTTAAACCCAATCGGGAAATTAATAGGAAACGCATACTTTGTTTCAAATTCACTCAACCACTTCTCTCTAAACTCTTTTTCTCTCCACTTTTCAACCTCCCCAACAAAACCCAATTCTCTATCTCTATCAACCAAACCCACAATCTCCAAATCAACCAACCTAAACTCATTTGTATACTTTCCAATTATCGATTCTCGAAAATCTTGGGGCAATCCCAATTCTCTCCTAATCAATCTCAAAGCATGAATGTGAAGTGTACCATTTACGGACATCATCAAAAGCCTTTTAATTCGGCCAACATTCTCCGATTCCGAAACCCTAATAAAACCCTCTTCTTCTTGAATCAAATCACTCATTTTCTTCCTAATTTTACAACAAACGTTTCGCTTAATGGGATGAGTGAATACCTCGAAAACGTGGGGGTATTTTCGGAGGAAAGTTCCAACGGGGATGTTGAGTCCGACGATGTTTTTCCAGCGAGACATGAATTGAACGGAGACGAAAGGGCCGCGCTTTCGCGCGGAGATGAGGCGGTGAAGGGTGAGGACGAGGGTGAGTTTGTGGAGGTGGGTTGTGAGTTTGTCGAGCTTGAGGTCTCTGGTTCGGCTCTCTAGGCGGGTCTGTGCTGTGTCAGATGGTTTTTTCTTCCATCTTCGTTGTGTTGTGGAGTTGAAGGGGCCGAATGGGAATGGTGTTGATGATGGCGAACTGTGAGAAGAGGGTTTGATTTCGAGGATTGTGTGCATGAAGCTTTGTAATGTTCTCATGAATGATGGCGCCCAGTTCTTCAGTGCTGTTTTAGAGAGAGAAAGTCGTAGAGAGATACTGCTGCCAGTGAACAGCCCACTAGTTTAGAGGTTGTTTTGGGTAGTTTGGTGCGTAATTTTTTTTAATTTTTTATAAAAAGGTGTGTAATAAAATATTTTTATAAAATTAAAATAATTATTTTATTTGTAGTGATTTTTTAACTTTTGGATAGCCCATTTTAAAGGGTAGAATAGTAATTTTACCTTCTAGCTTTTTTCACAAACTTCTTTCAAATAATATGGATTTTTTAGGTTTTTTTAGTAACTTTTTAACTTTTGTAAGTTATGCCAAATTAATGAGTTTTAGTTTCACTTTTCTGAAAATTGAGTTTTTTTTATTTTTCGTATTTTTTTATTTTTAGTGAATATTTTTAAAATTTTAAGCAATTTTATAATATTTGTGAAAAAATATTTAAAAAAATTAATAAATATATAAAAATATGAAAAATGTATTGAATTTTCGTATTTTTTTATATTTAGGCCCCGTTTGGTAACATCACTTTTTAGCCTAAAAACCAAAAAGTCATTAAAAAAAACCAAAAAGTCAGATTTCATTTTATCTCTACTTTTTGCACATCTTTTTGTGAAAAATCAAAAAGTCATCCCAAACATACTATTTTTTTTATGGCCTCGTTTGGGAATATGCTATTTTAATAACTTTTTGATTTTTTGACAAAAATATGAGGTAAAAAAATAGTATGTTTGAATATTTTTTTATTTTTTATGAAAAGATATACAAAAATAGAGAGAAAAGAGAATTTTTGACTTTTTTGTATAAGTTATAAGCTTTTTAGTTTTTTTACTAACTTTTTGACTTTTAGACTAAAACAACTACTTGTCAAATGAGGCCTACATCATATTTTAGCCAAAAAACTAAAAAGTTACTAAAGCTATGTTTGGTTTTGGCTTTTTGGCTAAAAAAAGCACAAAAGACAAAATTGGGTACATAAGTCAATAAGACAAAATGTCATATCCAAATCACAATCATTATATTTTTTCTCTCATAAAAGTCAAAAAAAACAAAAATAAAAACCAAACGAGGCTAAAATAGCCAAAACACCAAAAAGTCGGGCTATTTTAGCTCTTCCCAAAAAAACACTAAAAAAACATGTTCCAAACGAGGCCACTGTGTATTTTTTTTTAAAAAAAATTCACAAATATTATATTTTTTAAATATATTTATGTTAGGTGTATCTACACATTAAAAAAAAAATTGCTTAAAATATTAAAAAAATTCATTAAAACATTAAAATACGGAAAATAGAAAACATAGAATTTTTTGAAAATTGTTTTCTAAAAACCAAAATCAGAACCAAACAAGCTGAATATGTCTTGATGAAATGGATGTCCATATCCGATTATATTGAATTCTTTTTGATATATTATATTCGATATCTTTGAAAATGTGAATAGTTCGAATCGCCAAAATGAAGCCCAAATAAAACTTCATTGATTGTGCAACAGAGGCTGTTACGCACTGTAACGTCCTCAAAATAATAACACTAAACCCATCAAATAAGACATGCATTGAGATGCAAAAGTTTCACATTCTTCCATTTTATCAGAATTCCATTACATAAGTATTACATGTTAACAACAAAAGCAAAATGCCCTACGGGCTTACAGCTTTCCAAGTTAGCACTTGGTTACAACAAAAGAGTACTAACTCATACACATTAAGCCCTTGGCTTGAATTTACATGTAATACATCAAAAGTAAACGACAAAAGTATGTCCGCCTCTAGCCTCCCAAGCTATGTCCTTGGAGGTGGCATGCTACCTGTACCTGAAAATGATATTCCCATATAGGGTGAGCACAGCCCAGTAGAAATACACTAAACCAACCATGGACAATGACTAAAAGATTAGCAATTGATAGATGGCCAACACAGATACATTCACATAAATCACATAATTATGTCAACCGACTCATAAGTCCAAGTTACTTTTCATTTTCCCCTTTTCAACGGATAGGCATATATGCACTAACCACATTCTCAACAGATATGTATAACAACAATATCCACATTCTCAGATAAGCAAATAAGCTATATCCACATTCTACAACAGATATGTATATCAACAATATCCACAGATAAGCATATAAGCTATATCCACACTTCACCAAGATAAGCATATGAGCTCTACCTTCACTTTACTAGACAAGCATATGAGCTGTATCTACGGAGTTCATCCCCTATCTTCTCCCAACACTATCCGGTTTAGAGGTACATCCCCTATCTTCCCCTAAACCGCGGAGTACATCCCCCATCTCCTCCTCTACACATAACGTATACAAACACAAGGGTTCTATATACGATCACCCAATACATATAGTTAATGTATTCTATCAACCGTCAAGTTCCATGACACATTTCATTGATTAGTTTCAGTTTGCCTAATCATCATGCATTGTCTACAACAATCACGACTATCCTCCACCGATAGCCCAAGCAGTTATTTCTAAACAGAAAATAAATGCACAAATGGATATTTAATCAACATTTCATTTCCTCATTTCTCACCATTAATTATCCCAATTAATCAAACAATGTAATTAGGCCATTTCCCATAATTATCATTTCAACTCTTAGGTCCCATTTTCATCAATGATTTAACGTCAATTCCATTTCTCTATGCCAAACATGCATCTAGGTTTATTATGAATAAAACCCCAACTTTTGTAAAATTACACAAAAGCCCAAAACTTTCACCAAATTACCAAACCAAGCCCAACATCTCAAAATACCAAAATTTAAAGACAAAACCCATAGAGAGGAGTAAGATATCCCTACCTCGAAGTTTGAGCCAAAAAGGAGATGAAGACTCGAAGATCAACGTGTTCCAAATCCAAACTTTTTCAGATTAAATCAAAGCTCTCAACGCCCTCTATCTTTTTAACAAAGGCTCTAGGCTAAATTCACACTCTAGGGAGATCAATTCTTAGAGAGGGTGTAAGTTTAGAGAGAGAGAGTCTCGGATTTAGGGTTTGATAAAAAAAAAAGTGAAAAACTAAAGTTCAAAATCGCTACTGTCCGCTGATATAAAACACGCTCGCTCGAGCGAAGCCTTTGTCGCTCGAGCGACCAGACACAGAAACTCTCGCTCGAGCCAAGAAGTTCTCGATCGAGCGAAGAAAAACCCAGACCGCTCGAGCGAAGGAAGCTCGCTCGAGCCAAGAAAGGCAACTCTCAGGTCCAGAACCAGACGCAACACTCGCTCAAGCGAAGCCACCCTGGCTCGACCCACCAGACACGAACCTCACTCTCGCTCGACCGACTAACTCCTCGCTCGAGCGAAGGTCCAAAAATCTGGGCAGCAACACTAGGCTCCCAAACACAACCAACCTGTAACAAACCTGCCCAACACATCCCATAACTCAATATACAAAGTAAAAAGGATGCAAACAAGATAATAAACAACTACCAACATCCACGAACACATGTCCGGATCACTGTACAACAAGGATAAACCCGGAATCGCTATACGCACTCCACAACCCTTCATTTGCACTAAATTACAAAATTACTTGCACCTCAAATATTTTTGTAATTTTTTTCCCACTATTTTGAAATTCTCCCAAAAAACGTATCTTTTTAATTTTTAAGTTAGTTTTTTGAATTTTTAACTATTTTATGAGATGGAAAAAAAAAAAAAAAAGAAGTTATGTTTTGGATGATTTGTGAATTTTTTTTGTAGTTAAATAGATGGTTGTGAAAGAAAAAAAATAATTGATTAATGTGTGGGATGTGTCATTTTGTCTTATTACCTATTTTAGTATTTTTTATTCTTATTGACTCTTTTAATCAAAAATGTTGTTATCTTGAAAGCTTTATCATCACAAACTTCTCTGAAAGGCTTGATTCGGGTTGGATTCGCATTTAACAACTCATAGCCTCACTGAAATAAAAATGCGAATAAAATTACAACTCAAAGGAGTTTTGTCAAACAGGATTGCCAAAAAATAAAACCTAACAAACCGTTAATTCAATTAACAACTTTAATGATGTCAACAATATATTTCAATTAATAGTTATGATAATTTCATTGTTATACAAGAGGGACATGAAATTTCATATTTTCTATTAACAAACTCTAACAATAGAAGATTTGTAAGTTTCTGAACCGTATGAGATAATCTATATTTTAAGTATATTTTTATCCTTTTAATTATAAGTACTCTTATTTGCCCCCACTACTTTTCTTAAAATCCCCTACTTCTTTAAACCCCACCACCTGAATTGCTTCATTCCCTCTCTGTTTTTTGGACTCCTACCATGACTTTGTTTGGTAAGGCTTATTTCCAGCTTATTTCAACTTTTAGCTTAATTTAAGCTATTTTGATGTGTTTGGTTCAGCTTAACAATACAGTTTATAGCTTTTTGTAAGTCAAAAATCAACTTATTCTTTGAGTGGGGGAGGAGAAGCTTAATTTATAAGTCAAAAATTAGCTTATGTTCATAGCTATAAGTTATAATCACTTTCCCACAGCTCTACCAAACGGGACCCATAAACCTCAAAATACCTCTTCTTTGAACCCCCCACTTTTGCTACAACCTTTTTTCCAATAAACACCCTTCCCTACCACCTTCACCACCAGTTCTATTAGCCATCTCCCAACTCTTCCTAGCCACCACAACTCTTTTCAACCACTCTTTAGCCCTCTATCTAGTAGTAACCCTTTCACACTCCAACAACCTTTTCCAAACATTTTTTCCCTGTATTTAAGTTTGTTAAGATAATCAAGGTCTAACAAACTTCATGTGTTCGACCATGTTTAGCTAAACATACTTAGTTTGTTCAGTTCTAACCAACTGAACAGAGCAAAATTAGTGAAATTAATCACGTTCAACCTTAGTCATTTGAAAACCTAAAAATATTCGGCTACCAAAGGCCAAACAATCTTAATTTATTCGACAAATCAGAGTCGAACAAAGTTTTGACTCCATTTTTTCTTTCAAATCACATGAAACACGTCAAAATGATAATCAAATACACCCAATCATATATTATTTTTGTAAGTACCACCATGATGGTCCTATGTCTTAGAGGAC